AAATTTATAAATGGGAGCACAAAATCCAGATCATAGATGAGAAGTGCTCTTCTGCCCTGATAACAGTTCAACACCTCTTCTCCCCTCATCGTAGTTTAATTTACTTCTGCCCTGACCATAGTTCAGCTCTATAGTCTGCTCTGCCCTGATCATCCATTCGGTTCAGTTCTGCCACCGCAGTTCAAAAAGGACAATGAGAAATTAAGTGACCGTAAAGCAGTGTTCTCAAGATACTAGGGAGTCAGTAAGCAAACATCGAAAAACATTTAAAGAATCTGTGGCTAGCCTGTAAGGTTTATCTAAAGCCGTGTTTCTCCATCTCGGTCACTTTAGGATGTGAATTCTGGCAGTTGAAGGCCTCCTGTCTTAAAGTTGCTGAGGTAGAAAAACATAGAAAGAGCTGTCACAAGGAAGAAAGAATGGACCTATGAGGACATGTGTTGAGGCCAGATCTCAGGAGGAACTTCTTGACTGTAAAGTACTAGATATCACCCAGCGGAACAGCCTGCTCCATAAGGAAGTAAGTTCTGCTTCACTGGCCTTTTCCACACCAAGGTTATCTGCGGGAGTGTTTGACATGTTCTATCGTCTTGACTATGAAAAAACATGTCTCCCAAATATATCTGAGGCACAACTTCCTTGTTTTGAGACTGATCCATTGAGCTTCTGCATTCAGCCACCAATTGTTTGCTGATAGTGATCTTTATAACGACTTAACATTTTCCCTCCTTCCTTGTAAGGCACAACCGCACATAAAGTCCTATCTCTATATACGGTAGCAGTACTTGTACACCAGGATTTGAACCCATGGCCCCCCCAAACTCTAAGACCTAGATAAGTAATATGAGATGTAATTAAACTCAAACTCTAGCCAGTCCCAAAACTGAGGGATAACTGGAGTTTTGGAAGGTGACGTGCTGTTTGCCCCTATTATTTGATTTTATCCCACCTTTATTACTTTGTAAATAATTTTAAATGATCGATGTATCTATTGCTCCTTCTTCTTCTATTTTTCCCAATAGAGAATCACTCATACAATAACGGTGAAGTGGGCTAGGCCGAGAACGATTCGCCCAAAGTCATCCAAGCTGGCTTTTATGCCTCAGGCAGGACTAGAACTCAGTCACCTGCTTTCTAGCCTGAAGCCTTTTAATCACTAGACCAAACTTGCTCTCTATTCTAAACCACCATGCCAGAGTTTCATTTCAAGCAGAGAATGCTGATCATTATTATGAACCGATGTACTACTCTATCAGAAAGTACCAGAAGGAAACCCCGTTCCCACAATCACAGCAATGAAAATTTGCACACTCTTTACAACTATCCATGATCCAGTGCGGTGATCTATAATGTGACCCGAGCTTCACCTAAGCTGTCATAATTGAGCTTCCAAAATGTAAACTTTCTTCTACTTCGGTCATTCTACTGATCTATTTGTGTGTTTAGGATCACTGGGTGACCTGGTTACATATTCTTTTCCAAACAGACACAGTGAAATGTTTGCTCACGTGCTCAATAAGGGCATGACCCACTATACTGTTTGGGAGGATACTAACTTTTATTTGTTCCTTGTATCTCCATCTATTGATTCTGAACCAGTCGCTTATATCACATTTTTTATTACATTCCAGATTATACAGATCTTTCTGTAAGGTTCAGAGACATTTCCTTGTCACTTGTAGCTTACTAAGAAGAAATGGAAATGGCAAGGATAGCTTAATAGGCCACCATGGTTTTAATTAATTACGTTTTGATGAAGGCACAATATACTGACGTACAGTGTGCTCAATCGTAATTTGGCTCAGCTAACAGACTACATTAAACCAGGCTATAAAAATGGTTTATAAATCACATACTCAGCCATATCCAAGCAAACCCCGTTATGGTTTAAAAGTTATATTAAGTATTACATGCTGTGAGAATCCGGTCTATTATGGTTTATTCATCAGAACTAAATTAAAAGTGACTGGTTGCAATGCATGAATATAATCAGGTTGCCTAATTGAGAATAGCATTTAGAGCAATTTGGAATTCTTAGCCGCACAAATTTATAATCTTGCAAACTTGCTGAAGGGGTTTTGCCCCATCGCTGTGCAACAGATGCCATATTCTATTGACCTTCCATTGCGACTCCAAAAGGAAAAGTGAATTTAATTATGTCCACCTAAGAGTAGTAAGGCTATTACAGTACAGGTAATCCTCGACTTACAACTATAATCAGGAACAGAATATCCATTGCTTAACAACATTGTTAAATGAGTCTTGCTCGATTTTACGACCTTTTTTTAAAAAAACCATGATGGTTAAGCTAATCGCTGGAGTTGTTTAATGAATCCAGCTTTCCCTAAATTCGATTTTACTTCTCAGAAACCATCTGGGAAGATCTCAAATGGTAATCACGTAACCCCAGGATGCTTCAACTCTGGTTAAATACATGCTGGTTGCCACACTCTTGGATTTTGATCACGTGACCTTGGGATGCTGCGACGGTTATAAGCGCGAGGAACCATCACTAAACAAACGGATGTTTAGTGGAGGACTCCATGTCCTCATTTAAAACTTTATATTGTGGAAAGCATAGAGCTAAGTCCTCGACTTACACCCGTTGGCTTAGTGACCATTCAAAGTTACAACAGCACTGAAAAAAGTGATTTACGACCGTTTTTCAGACTTACAACCGTTGCAGCATCTCCACAGTCACATGATCAACATTCACAGGCTTGGCCACTGGTTCATATTTATGACGGTTGAAGTGTCCCAGGGTCACCTTTTGCAGCCTTCTGACAAGCAAAATCAATAGGGCAACCAAACCACGTTGTTCACTGCAGTGATTCATTTCACAACTGTGGCAAGAAAGGTTGTAAAATGGAGCAAAACCCACTTAACAAGTCTCTCACTTCGCAACAGAAATTTTGGGCTCAATCGTAGTCGTAAGTCAAGGACTTACCTGTACTCATCTCCTACATAAATGAACTCCGTGGCCTTAAGATAGGTGGACTTCAACTCCCAGAATTCCTCAGCCAGCCATGATCGGGCAACACCTATCTAGACATGCCTTCTCTTCTGTATCACTCATCCATATTTTTTTTTCAATGCCTTCCAGTCAGCGTTGACTCCTGTGAACTGCCTGGACAAGTTCCTGCAGTTTTCTTGGCAACATTTTCGGAAGTATTGCAACTGCCACTTTCTTCCTGGAGGCTGAGAAAGAATGATTTAGCCCAAGGTCACCCTGCTAAGACAGGACTAAAACTCATGGACTCTCAGTTTCTAGCCTGGTGTCTTAACCCTTATATCAAATTGTCCCTCCAGCTACCTTCCACATTTGTCATCACTGAAAGACGTCTAGCACCGGAAAAGCCAGGAGGGCCTTAATTCAAGTCTTGCAACACTCTTACTCATGTGTAAAAATCTCACATTCCTACTCAGAAGCAGCCTTGAGCAATCCTTGAGCTTAGTAGCCTTAGATACTCCACGCAGGAAGACTTTTAGAGTAATCCTGATATATCTAGTAAGAATCTTGTAAGGGTGGCTGAAACATAAAAACAGACAAAATACTTCAAATTCCATCAAACAGTGGCATGTAAGTAATAAGAGGGTTCTTATTGCTTTCTCATTGTTGCTATAAGAGTATTCTTACTATTCCCTCATGATTGCTATGGATATTTTTACTGGGAGGGTTTTTTTTTTTAACCAATTACCCCTTCTAATGCTGGATGTTGCAGGAGACTCCAAAGCAGTACAATGAAGCCCATACACATTGCTTTAATTTTAGAACCACACAACGCTCCGTCTTTCCAGCCATATCTACTACATAACGCAGTTCCAAACTCTTCCACGTTAGACACGTCTCTCAAAATTCAAGAGCCTTAGGTTTAAAATCCCAGGTAAGCCAAGACAAATTGGTCTTCCAAATAGGATTTTCACAGTCGATAAAATGGGGTTGATCAATGCCATCCCAGTAAGGCTGTTGCAAGAATTCACGGCACTTGGTTGCTCGGGATCACTATTAAAGGAAAAAAGAAACCACTGAAGAAAACCACAGGCCATTAGCGAGGCTTGTACAAAAGCCAGCCTAGAACCACAATAACTCGCCTATATCAAACACACGTGGGATGCTTATCTTTTTTCTTAACTAATCCACTGAGCTCCTCCTATGCCACAACTACAAGAAACTCCGCTAGAACATGATGTAAATGTTATTTTCCAGGTCTTGCACTGCATTATTATACCATCCTAGTTTTCCAGAACCCCACCCCACTTTGATCCCTTTTCTCACCTCCCAATTCCATCTCATGACTCCCCTTCCCCAATTCTCTCCCATTTTAATTTTTTTTTGTTTTGTTTTACTTTCCAGTCCTTATGACTTCAAGACCCACCGCCTTTCCTAAGGCTTCTCCTCAGGGCTTGCCCCACCTTAAAAACCAGCCCCCCACTGGGCTTTGCTCCTTCCATCACTACCCCCCACAAGTCACCCCTCCTTCCAATCTCCCTCCCTTCACCCCAATAAACCTCCAGTCACCCCACAGCAACCTTCCCACCCACCCACCCAACCCATCCCGACTTCTGCTTCTCCCAACTACTGACCCAGATCCCTTCCCTGAAAAAGGGGAGGGGGGGAGCAGCAGGCCTTGGGACCCCAGAAATACACAAACTGGGTGGACTGGAGGGGGGGGCATATATTGGGGAGGGGAGGGGAGGGAAGAGATCAAACGCAGCACAGCTGACTTACTATCCCTTGATACAGGCAGAAGGCATGTATGCCAAGCAACGTCCGGCTAAGATCCAAGGCGGGGAGGAGGAGGAGGAGGAGGAGGGGCATCTGGCGATCAATTCCGGAGTCTAGAAGCATCCAATGGCCGGACTTGGCAATCCAGACCTAACTCCCCCATACCTTCGGATTAACCCCCACCCCAGCCAGCCCCCATTCTTAGGGAATGATGGGAGTTGAAGTCCAAACTTCCACGCGCACCCACCCCACCCCCCGCCCGGCTTTTACTTACGTGGCTGCTTTTGTGCCCCGCTTTTGGGGGGGCTGGGGGTGGGTGGGAAGCCGGTTTCGGGGCTCCTGGAGACCCCCCCTGGTCCGTTCACCCCCCGCGCTTCCAGAGCCAGGCCATGGCGGAGCCGGCTTCAGAGATGCGCGGATGGAGGAGGAGAGCCGGTTGGGCGGGGGGGGGAAAGAGAGAGGGAGGGAGGGAGAGAGAGGCTTAGATGCTGCTCCAGCGCTTGGGCGGCGGTGGCCTCATCCCGGCGTGGGCCACTTCCTCGGGTGGCTCCGCCGAGCGGCAGGAAATGTAGCGTCGTGAGGGAGGGGGGCTCTGACGGGCAGCGACGGCCGCCAATAGCGACGGCGTCTCCTTCCTCTTCCTCAGTTTGTCCCCACCCCGTGACCAGCGTCTCTCTGTCTCTCTCTCGCTCGCTCGCTCTCTCTTTCCCCCCCTCCCACCCCGCCCGCGGCTGTTCCTGCGGGTGGTGCGCTCCTTCTCCCCCCCCCGCCCACATCCCCTCCGGGTTCTTCTTCATTCAATTACTCGTTTGCTTTTCATTCACGCCGGGCTGTTTCCTTTACCTCCCCTCCCACCCTCCTCCTCATCCTCCTCCTCCTCCTCTCAGCCACCTCAGTTCCAGCGGGTCTACCTTCACCGGTCCGAAAAAGGCGGGTGGGGGGAGGTGGAGGTGAAAGCGGGCAAGGGAGACAGGCGGGGATGTTGGGGGAGCTCCGACGTTCCCAGGCGGACACGCCCGAGACATCCTTCTTCCCATCGCCGGGGTTCAGACGGGGATCGCAGCCCGGCTGGATCACATGCTGTGCTGGGAGCTAAAGCCACTCTCGGCAGCGCCATCCTGGCTGCAAGATCCGAAGGCAGCTTTTAATAATACTAATACTAATATAATAATAATAATAATAATAATAATAATAATAATAATAATAATAATAATAATAATAATAATAACAACAACAACAACAACAATAACAATTATTATTAATATTAATATAAGTCACCTAACAGCTATTTGGGTTAGAAATATATAAACCAGGATAAACATTTTAAAACAGTATCTTTAAGAAAATGCAAAACTGTAATTAGGTGTGGTTTTGCAAACGGCCATAAGATGGAGCCAGAAACCTGGGTTGTTTAGTCTGAGTCTGAGAAGAGAGTGTGTCTGAGTGTGTATCTCTGTTTCCTTCTGTTGGAAATATTGCCGTTGCTCCATTTCTTCTAATTGACTGATATTACTGGTATTTAATGTAAGTCTGATACTGAACTGTTTTTTGACACTGGACTTTGTTACTGCATTATCCCTGGATTGAAAAACTGACTGATTTACCTGTGAATGACTTTTGGACTGTTTATCTTGAACTTTGCTTAAACTTTCTGGAAGTAAAATCCTACATTTACTGTACAGTGTATCCGTGTACTGTGTGTGTATTATTCAAACACTCCTCTCTATACGTCTCCCTGTATGTGCTCATTCTCCTAATGGGGAATTACCTCAACACTGGTTATGGGCCCAGGCCATACCAGGCTCAGATAACTGAGAGTTAGTGTGAATACACAGTACTGTATACAGACAGCTGTTTACTGTTTAATTGTGGTTTACTATACTGGTAAAGATGGCACAAGACACTTCAACAAGTCTATCACTGATAACCCGGTTGGATGGAACAAACTATGTTTCCTGTCTATGAAGTGCAGTCTACTTCTGCGTAGAGAAGGTTTATGGAATGTAGTTCAAAATCCACCAGATGTAAATGCTTGGGATCCAGAAAATGAGGATGATGCCAAGAAGCTTGCTGACTTTAAACAGAACAACGAACGAGCTCTTTGTATAATCGGACTAACACTGAGTGACCAGCAGCTAGTCCATATTCGTGGAGAAGAGTCTGCTGCTAGGTGTTGGGAAAATTTGAAGAGGATTTATGTTCATGACAGTGTAGGTGCACACATACATCTTACATGTAAACTGTTTAGAGCACGTCTTCTGAAAGGTGGATATATGTTAGCTCATTTAAACTTCATGAAAAGAACTTTTCAAGAGCTACATGAAAAGGAACTGATATTTTTCAGAGCTGCATCAAATTTACATCATTCTTTCCTCATTGGATGAAAGTTATGATGATTACATATCTTCACTGGAAGTCCTGCCCAGAGATAAACTGACATTGACTGAAATAACTGGAAGATTGTTAGAAGAAGCAAGAAGATGGCTGGATAGAGACCAACTGAGGAAGGAACAAGCACAAGAAGAGAATTTGTCTTCAACTGCCTATACTGTTAGGAAATGTTTTTCTTGTGGGGCAAGGGGACATATAGCTAGATTCTATAAGAAAGGAAAAAGACAGAATACTAGTAAACACCAAAAGGCTAAGAAGAATGTTAGTTTAGCTATGTCTAGCAATTCAACTGTAAACCATGATTTGTGGGTTGTTGATAGTGGAGCATCACAGTGCATTACTAAAGATAGAAAAAGATTTGTAAAGGTGTCCACGAGTAAACAACATGTATCATTGGCAAATGGATGGAAGATTAAAGCATCAGGTGAAGGTACTGCATATTGTTCTTGTATAAACGAACATTTAACTATGTTATATGTACCTAAACTGAAATTTAATTTATTATCAGTAAGGGCTTTAGTTAATCTTGGTTATGTAGTAACTTTTAGGGGAGATAACTATATAATAGAGAAAGAGGGTAAAAGTGTTACTGCTACATTAGAGAATGATTTATATGTAATTCACGATGACCAGTTGAAGATGGCTAACTCAGTTTATAACAATGTTAAGCCACATGATGAATGTATACATTTACTACATAGACGTCTAGAGCACATTAATTTCAAAATGCTCAAACTGTTGAATTGTCAGAGGGAGTAAAATTGAAACCCCGTAGTAAGTATTTACACTGTAATGCTTGTAGTCAAGAAAAAAGTAAGGTTACTCCAGCAAACAGACTAAATGAGTTTAAGACCAAAGGACCTTTAGAGGTTGTTTTTGCTGACATAATTGGTCCTAAGAAACCAAGTTTAGGAGGTGCCTGCTATATTTTGAGTATTATGGACCATTACTCACGATATGGTTTCTGCTATCTTATGAAAAACGAAACAGAAACATTCCAACATTTCTTTAACTGGCTAAGGTTTGCTGAGAGAAAAATGAAAAGTAAAGTAATTACTTTAATAGCTGATAATGGGACTGAATTTGTTAACAAAAGATTCCAAACTATGCTAAAATTGGCTGGTGTTGAGCATAAACGTTCTGCACCTTACAGACCACAACATAACTCGTTTATAGAACAAAGAGGGCAAACATTACAAGCCATGGCTCGCACTATGTTATCTGATTCAGGTTTACCTGAAACACTGTGGGGTGAGGCCATAATGTGTAGTAATCATGTGTTAAACAATGTAATAAATACAACAACTGGAGAATTGCCATTCATTTGTTGGCATGGCAGAAAACCAAATTTAAATTACCTATACACATTTGGAGCTCCAGCATGGGTGCATATTCCCTCACAAGTAAGACTGAAAGGGCAACATAGAATTAAGAAGTTATTTTTTGTGGGTTACGAGGCTAACCATAGATCGTTTAGATTCTGGGATCAAGGCACAGCTCATGTTTATTGTAGTGCTAGTGCAAAATTTCTTGAGCACGTTGGGTGGGATAAACTGGAACAGGAATCCAGCAATGATATTATAATTGACACCCAAATAGTCCCTCAAGATGATATCAGTAAACAACAAATAGCCATTAAAGAGGAAGAACAGGAGGAAGTAGTAGAACAGGTGGAGTTTCCACCAGTAAGCCCTGTATTACCAAGACATTCAACCCATGTAACACGACCACCTGATAGATATCAGGCTAGTGTTGTATGCCAAGTGAATACAGTTCCAGTAATTCTAGTGAACTAAAACTGTATCCTACTAAGGATCAGGCTGCTTGGCAGAAAGCAATGGATAAGGAACTGGAATCATTAAAAAGACTGGAGGTATATGAAAACGTTAAGTTACCACCAGGTAAACATGCTATAGGATGTAAATGGATATATAAATTGAAGACAGGGATAGGACCCATAATGGGACCCATAAAGCCAGGTTAGTAGCACAACGGTTCAATCAGACAGCAAATGACTATGATGAGGTGTTTGCTCCTGATCTGAAGGCTACTACATTAAGGGCAGCATTAGTGTGGGCAGCTAAGGAGAAATACATTGTAAATCATTTGGATGTAGAGACAGCTTATCTGCATGCACCGTTGCAACACACTATATATTTAAAGAAACCTTTAGGACTCAAAAATGATAATACTGATAATAATGATTGCTGGAAATGGAAAAAGAGTCTTTATGGTTTGAAGCAATCAGGATATGAGTGGAACCAATGTATAGTTAAAGAATTAACTAAGATAGGCTTTGCAGCTGGCATGGCTGATCCATGTTTGTTTAAAAGAGAAAGTGATGGTATAGTGTCATTATTGTTATTATTTACTGATGACATAGCATTATTCACCAAAATTAATCACCAAGAAGCTATTGAGATAATTTCACTATTGGAAAAGAAATTTAAAATAAATCAATTAGGAGAAATCAAACAATATTTTGGTTTAAAGATAGATAGAACTAGGGGAGGATACAAAATCTCACAGGCAGATAAAATTAACCAATTACTAAAAAGTTTTAAAATGGAACTTGTAAGCCGGCTAAGACACCAATGAGCCAGGAGTTTAGCCATAGTGATGTTCAAAGTCCTATTTTTGATAAGAACATTTATCAGTCCTTGATTGGTAGTTTATCTTATCTCAGTAATTGGTCAAAGCGAGATATTGCATACAGTGTTAATCAATTAACGAGATTTAACCCTGAGACCACTGAAAGACACTGGCAAGCTGCTAAACGTGTGTTAAGATATCTAAAACAAACAATGCATTATGCATTGTATTTGGAGCCTAAAGATGAACTGAATTTGACTGCATATGCTGATGCAAGTTTTGCTACAGACATAAATACACAAAAATCTACATCGGGTACTGCTGTATTATTGGGAAAAGCATTGATTGGATGGAGATCTATTAGACAGAAACATCTAAGTTTGTCAACAATGGAGGCTGAATTCTCAAGTTTATCTTTACCATGTACAGATTTAGTTTTGTATAAGCAATTATTAATTGATATGGGAATTGATGTAAAGTATCCTATTGTTGTTTACGAAGATAACCAATCAGCAATACAAATGGCTTCAAATATTGCTGTTAAAACAAGAACAAAACACACAGATTTAAGATATTTAAATGTGGGACAATGTGTGCAAAGTAAAATGATTAAGCTAGAATACTGTATGTCAGAAAATAATATAGCAGATCATTTTACAAAGGCCCAAGGATCTATAAAGCATAAGGCATGCTGTGAAGATTATGGACTTAGAA